CTTGGCTTGGCTGATTCACATCACAAGTGCCAGAGGATCAGGAGACAGAAGCATCCCAACACACCTGAGCAGTGTGAGCCAAGGAGCACCGCGCAGAACTGTAAGTGCAGACTCCTTTGCAAGAGCAGCCTTGGGCCATGAAACAGATTCATCAGAATAAACTGATGTGTAAACAGCCTCTGGTAAGAGATCTGTGCACGCTTTAATTGTAATGTGGTTAAAGCCTGTCTTTTCTCTTTCACCTAAATGAGGAAGATCTTAAAATTTATTCATTCATTCCAGTAGCACCTCTCAAATAAGCTATGGCACTGGAATCCTTTATCTCAAATCTTATGCTGGTGCCTAAACACCAGGCTCAAATGACTTGAGTAATTGGCTGCCTAACGTTTCCTTCTATAATTAATTTTTCTCACCAGGAAAGAACTTCAAGTCTAATCCATCGGTGAGAAGAATTCCTGAGGCCATGATTGCTTCACAGATTCTCTCCATTCTCACTTTTGGTAAGTCAGATTCTCTCCACTCTCACTTTTGGCAACACTGGACCAGGGTTTCTCATCACCTCCCTACTGACATTGTAGACCAGGATATTGTTCTTCGTGTGGGGCTGTCCTGTGCAGAGGGAGTTTAGCAGCATCCCTGGCCTCTTCCCGCCTGGCACTAGGGAAATTCACTTCTTAGTGTCATATTTCCATATGTGTAAAACGTTGATCAAAAATGGCCTACGTAGGCACTGTGACAATTCAATGGTACAGTAGTTTAGGTACATGTGGGGACACCTTGACAAACTTGAAGTAGGCAACAATCTGACTGCACTGTGTGATTTTATATTCCAAATATAAAATTCCAAAATATGTTATATTAGGTTGAAAAGTGCCTCTCACAGCACCTGGTGGCTCATACTAAGGGCTCAATACTGCAGAGTCACCAGCAGAATAACAAATTTGTTACGAAGGTGGGGACAACAAGCCCTGGGGGTGACTGGCCACAGAAATGATGCACAGGAAACTCTGGTTTCTTTAATATTTATTTCCTCTTCTTACTTTTGAAAAGGTGAAAAATTTTTGTCACCCCAAATCTAGAGTCTGGCATAAATAAGACAGTAAAGACCCAGAGAGCTAGAGTTAAGCCCAGGAGGACTAAACGCTGCCATTCTCTCTTGTTCCACCCCTAGTGCTCCTCATTAAAGACAGCGCGGCCTGGACTTACAATGTGTCCAGGATAAACATGACTTATGATGAGGCTAGTGCTTATTGTCAGCAAAGGTACACACACCTGGTCGCAATTCAAAACAAAGAGGAGATCGAGTACCTGAACGCCACGTTGAGCTATTCTCCAAGTTATTACTGGATCGGCATCAGAAAAGTCAATGGTGTGTGGATCTGGGTGGGGACCCAGAAGCCCCTGACCAAAGAAGCCAAGAACTGGGCTCCAGGAGAACCCAATAATAAGCAGAAAAACGAGGACTGCGTGGAGATCTACATCAAGAGACCAGAAGGTTCCGGCATGTGGAATGACGAGAGATGCAGTAAAAGGAAGCTCGCGCTGTGCTACACAGGTAGGGAGCCACAGGCAGCCACAACCTGACGACTCACAGTGGCAGCCACTGGTCTCCACCGTGGCCACTTTGCTCTGAAAGATGTGATTTAAAAACCGGGTGTTCCTGCCAAGGCCCCCCTTTACTCCTTGGCACAGATGTAGGCAAGAACGTGTGCACATGTGTAGTGTGAGCGCACGCGGGGAGGCCACACCCCTACAGAATGCCACATAGATGCACCATGGCAACTCAGGTGCTGGTTTGCTTGTGGCAGGGGAAGAGTCTCGTGGCGTGTGCTGAGGGAGTCTCTGTGCATGGTGTTGTTGCACCCCTCCTGACACCTCCAACATTAACATCAAGTATGCGAGACGAACCTGGAGCTCAGGTTTGGCATTTTGTGAGGCACCATTAAAATCTCCGGCACCCCATAACTTAGGTGACGTCATTACATGCAGCTGATCCTAAATTGTAAGGAATTTCCCACAAGCACCACAGCATCTGTCCTCACGGCTGTGTTTCCTGCAGCTGCCTGCACCCAAGCCTCCTGCAGCGGCCATGGGGAGTGTATAGAGACCATCAACAACTACACCTGCAGGTGCCACCCTGGCTTCAGTGGACTCGAGTGTGAGCACGGTAAGTGTGTCCTCGCCTTCTCTTCATTTGAGACAAGGCAACATCCTCCGCTCCGGCTGGTCTGGAGTCGGGCCTGCACGTCCTCCTTTCCCTGGACCAAAACAAAACCCGCCCTCCCCAACCCCCCAAACCCCCGTCCGAAGTGAAAGCTGGCAGAACTGACTTGGGTCCCTTTTCCAGCTGTGACCTGTAAAGAACAGAAAAACCCTGAGCACGGGAGGCTGGTTTGCACTTCACCCTTTGGGACCTTCAGCTACAGTTCCTCCTGCTCCGTCAGCTGTGACAGTGGCTACCTGCCAAGCAGCATGGAGACCACCTGGTGTACATCCTCTGGGGAATGGAGTGCTCCTCTTCCCACCTGCAGAGGTAAATCTCCCTCAGAATGTAAAGGGCGTCCCCAGCTCACCCTTCTCTAACCCAGGTTTCCTTCCTACTCCTTGCAAACCCCAGGGAGTCCCCCCCCCCCCACGCATCTTTAGTAAATCTTATTTACTTGGTTTGAGGGAGGAGGTTTATATTCTGTGTTTGAAGTGGGAAGTTCTGAGGTTCTGGTGACTTTCAAAGGAGACTATCATGGAAATGCAGAACCGCCCTGCAGAATCCTAATGCCCTCCCTTCTCTTCTCCCTTCCCTGTCTGCCTCGCCCTGCCTGGGACTAGCTTAAGACAAGGACTGCCAGCAGGCTCAGCATCTCCTTTTTCTGTCTCAATCTTATTTTTCTGGAGAAGAGACAAAAAAATTCCGTCCTTCTGATCCCACTCAATTTGTATGTCAGCATTGTTATTATCACAACTAGTCAAAAATCCTGACCAGTAGTCTACTTTTTATTCATTTTTGCCTTTTTATAAATGGAGACCATTTTGCACAAAGTAGAAATAGATAGGAAAAGATGGAAACATTGATAAAAACAGATAATAGCTTCATTGTGGGTGATTATGTTCCCAAGCATTGACTTTGGGATCTGCCCAAATGTGGCTTCCTCACTGTTATGGATTCCAAGTTAATAGGAAGTAAAAATAGGCTTCTGTGAAATTCATGGAGCTCTTTCAACTCCCCAGTGGTGGAGTGTGCTGCTTTGACAAATCCAGCCAATGGAACCATGGATTGTGGCCTGGGCCCTGGACGCTCCCCCTGGAACACCACATGTACATTTGGCTGTAAGGAAGGATTCGAACGAGTGGGAGCTCAGAACCTCACGTGTACCTCCTCTGGGAACTGGGATGACGAGAAGCCGCTGTGTAAAGGTAGAGTGTCCATGTTGGATGAAGTAAGCATTCTCTTTCTCAACCTACACTTGAAGTGGGCAAGCCAGCTTGCTGATATAAATGGGAACACGTGTTTCAGCTGTAACATGCGAAGCCATCCACCGGCCTCAGCATGGCTCTGTGCACTGTAGCTACTCCACAGCTGGAGAGCTCACCTTCAAGTCCTCTTGCAAATTCAGCTGCAAAGGGGGCTTCAGGCTGCTGGGACCAGCCCAGGTTGAATGCACAGCACAAGGGCAGTGGACACAGCAAACACCAGTGTGTACAGATGAGCCAGGGATTCTCTCCTTACACTTTCCATTCTAAAAGAGCAGTGATCTTCAAGCTTGTGCAGGGAAAATGAAAGCACATGTCCATTTTAACCACAGATGTCAGATTTGATGAGTGACATTCATACCTGAGACTCATGTGAAAGAACCAGGGAAAGGACTATATATAATAGCATGAGCAAATGCTTTGCTGGTTTTTAAAAATGCTATGTTAATATACTTTGTAGACAGAGGCATGGAATAGGCAGAATTCTTAGTCTAAAGAAAATCACATTAGAAAATTTAGAAAGCAGAATGAGAACATGACCTGAAGCTGAAACTCTTCTCATTCTTCCTTTCTTCTGCAACTGCTAGTATCTAGCAGTGATGGGGAAGCCCCCTGTGTGGGTCAGGTGGGAGATGCCTTTGCACACACATGAGCACTGAAACTTAACTCCAGGATATTGGAGACACGCAGATTTCTTATCAGGCACCAGCTTCCTCATAGCAAATACAGCATGGAATGGTTTCCAGGGGCAAAGAGCTGCAACCCCAAAGCCAGCTACAAGCTGGCAATATTCCTGGTGCCTTCTTCTCTTCCTTTCTTTTTGGCCATCTGCCCGCATCCAGGATCTGTAATTGCCCTCTGGACGCATAAAATCTTTCCTTTGACTTAACTTCTTTTGCATGTCAGAAGAACAGTGCTCAATTCCCAGTTAACGGCTACTGTTTAGTAGATGCCGTTATAGGTGAGGGCCTGGAACTCAAAGGAAACAGCCATCTTCCCAGTTGGTCAGGGAATAACAAGGAGTCTCTACTTTTTGGGTGTTGCTTAGTCCTAAATGAACTGGGTTGTTAAACACCAAATGGCCTGCAGTCTCTCAGTGGTATTTTCTGACCACCGTTTTGAGCCTTAGCTCTCCAGGGTGGAGCTTTATCCAGCCCAGAGTGAGGCCAGGTGGTTTGTCTTTCTAGTGCTTCTGGAGACTCCAAAATAGATCTAGCTTGTAGGTTCTCCTGGAAGCCAGGATTTTCTTTGCAGAGGAATCCAAAAGGCTCCAGTGTGGCCTCACAGGGGACTGGGACAGTGAGAGCCCACATGCAAAGATACTGTCTTTTGTTTCTACTTGGCTTTAAGACAGAAGCTATTGGGGAGCCCGGGGGTGGGGGGCTGCCTGGAGACCCCTGCAGCCACGTGGCACATGGGGCTCCACAGGGCTCACTCTTGCCTTGCAGCTGTGCAGTGCGATGCTCTCCCTGTGCCCCTGAATGGCTCTGTGAAGTGCTCTCCTTCCCCTACTGGAGAGTTCACCTACAGGTCCTCTTGCACCTTCCACTGTGACGATGGCTTTGACTTACATGGATCAGCTCAACTGGAGTGCACATCTCAGGGGCAGTGGACACACGAGGTCCCCTCCTGCCAAGGTAGGGTGAGTTCAGACTTGAGGATGCAGGTCACATGCCTCATAAGATTGTGAGCCTCAGTGGTCTCAGGGGGCTTGATTCTAATTTCCCACATGCTGAGTTGTATGTAGTGTTCATAAGTTAGGCTTGTGGTGACTTGGGCCACTTTACAAGTTTGCAGCAGATGTTTCCTAACCCCCCCACCATGTGCCTGTCATTTGCAGTGGTACAGTGTTCAAGCCTGGCAGCTCCAGGAAAGGTCAACATGAGCTGCAGTGGGGAGCCTGTGTCTGGCACTGTGTGTGAGTTTGCATGCCCTGAAGGCTGGATGCTCAATGGCTCTGCAGCTCTGACATGTGGTGCCACAGGACACTGGTCTGGGACGCTGCCTACCTGTGAAGGTAATGCATTGGTTGATGCTGGTTGCTGGGAGACCAGAGAGAAGCGAGGGAGCTGTCTTACTAGAGCAATTAAAGAAGCACTGGGCCCATATCAGAGTGGCTAAGCATCTGCACATATTTAAGCTCATGGAGATAGGAAGAAAATGGTAGATGTGGCATGTGGACGTAATGGATAGAATTCTAACAGTGGCAAAGAAGACCTGGAGGGGAAAGGAAGAGGGTGAAACAGAAAGTGTGTGTGGGGGGCGGGGGGTGGCTGAGCAAGTACAGCACAGTGTCCTGCAGGGCAGGGTGAGGGGTGTGAAAGAGCTGGCAGGGTAGAGTTCTGCCTGGCAGAGCTGGGGCAGCCAAGGGGAGCTAAAGGGCAGGTTAGCCACTTCTGCCTCATGACTTGAACCAGATGGGGCTTCTGCTCCTGGGAAAGAGGTAATAGAAAAGGAGAAGTGGACGGACAGAAAGACTTTCAAGCCAGCTCCTCATGCCCATCCTCCCCTCTGTTGCCGCAGCTCCCCCAGAGTCCAGCACTCCCTTGGCAGCTGGACTTTCTGCTGCAGGAACCTCCCTCGTGGCACTGACGTCAGTTCTCCTCTGGCTTCTGAAATACTTTCGGAAGAAAGGTGAGGGAGCTTATGAATATACTCCAAATATGTTTTCTCATTGATGAGTTATAGTTTCTCTTATAAATTTAGACAGTTACTAGATTCTAGTAATTGTACAAACACTAATATACTGCTTTATAATTAAGCAAAAGTCTTAGGAAGAGTTCATAAAGCAACATGAAATTTGAAGTATTTTAGGAAATATAAATGTTAGCTGTGTTAACATTGCTCAACTCCAGGAGGTGCTACTTGCTTTGAATTCTGTTTTGTCTCTGGAGTTGTGCAATGGGACTGACATGATCTGTGCTCCTGGGAAGTTGGATAAATGCTTCCTTAAAAAACTATTTGGAATACAGTCTTGTTTTGGGATATTGCCTAAGGAATATGTGAACACATCTATTCACACTCATGGTTTGTTTGGCTTAAAGAGTATTGAAAAACACGTTATTTATTTATTTTTTAAATCCTGGTTATTGAACCCAGGGGATCTTAACCATATGATCTTAATCACATGCCCAGCTCTTTGTATGTTTTATTCTAAGACAGGGCCTTGCTAAATTGCTGAGGCTGGCTTTGAACTTGCAATCCTCCTGCCTCAGCCTCCTGAGTTGCTGCGACCGCAGCCATGTACCATCTCACTCGCAGAAAAATGCTAAAACTACTTCAGACATTTAAAAAATGAGAAAGTCTATGTAAAAAACAATTCCTGACTTGGGCTTGTCCTTTTATTGTTGTGCACTCTGCATTTGCCTTAGTCACCAGGTTATATTGTGTCTGGATTGGCAATGTCCTTAAAAGCCATTTGGTCTAAAGGAATTGTTTTCTTTCTCTTGCAGCAAGGAAATTTGTCCCTGCGAGGTAAGTTGCATTCTTGTACAAAGCCTTCTGTGAACCTTCTGAACATTTTCCTCTCTTCATGTGGAAACAGTGGCTTATTACTATTCCTACCTGTCCCACAGCAGCTGCCAAAGCCTTGAATCCCATGGAAACTACCAGATACCTTCAGACTTCATCTAAGCTCAAAGGAATCTGGTAAGACTTGCAAGTGGCATGTCATGAGGGAGCGCCTCCCTAGGCATTCTGCTCATCCTTGGGCCCCTTCCAGCCTGCATTGTCCTCAGGACCTCTCCATCTCCATGGCACTACTGGAAAGTTGTTTTGTTTCTTTGCAGGAGAGGGAAGAAACAGAGATCTGGCTTTCTTGAGCCATTTCCTTTATGAAAGACAATAATGATGGTGACAACTGACCCTTATGTGGCACTTACTGTGCCCTAAGAACTGTTCTAAGCTAGGAACTCCATGAGATAGGATGATTATTCTATTTCTCCTGACTTAGATGGAGCAGAGGAGGCAGAGAGAAGCTAAGTGACTTGCGTGAAGTCTCAAAGCTCCTAAGTGATGTAGCAGGATTCAAGCACAGGCAGTCTGGTTCTAGAATCTGTGTTCTTAAACATCTGCTCTGCTCTGTGAGGATTTGTGATGTTCAAGTGAAGTCCCCTGCAATACTTTTTCAAAAAAATTAATGTACATTTTTTGTGCAATTTTAATTTTATAGAAAAATTGAGCAGAAAATACAGAGTTCTAATATCTTACAGAGTTACCAGCATCTTGAACTAGCATGATTCAATTCATGCAATTGATGGATCAGTAGAGATGCATTATTATGAGTTAAAGTCCCCAGGTTACTTTAGTCTTCACTTGTTGTGCTTTCTGCAGGGTTTAACAGATACGTGATCACCTGTAGCCACCATTACTGTGCAGTAAAAATAGTTTCCCTGTTCTAACTGAACAGCACTTGATGTTGCTATTTGGGTGGCTCTAGCCAGAATGCACAGTCGCCTGTGCTGGGATGTGCATTTTGTTGTCACTTACAGTATGCATTATGCTGAAGTTTTCTGGTGACATGCATGTTTGCTTGCAATTACAGGAACACTGGTGCATCCCGGGAACTAGTCTGAACCACTGAAGACAGCAGAGGTGTCCTGCCCCCTGGCCTTCCTGGCCCATTGTCCTATGCCTTGACAGCTGGGACCATGACTTCAGTGGATTAAGTCCAGAGCCAAGTGCAGTCTTCCACCAAAAAGACTCAATCTTCTTGTTCCTATTCTCAGGACAAAGAAATTGCTGGCTAGGCTATTAGAGGAGAGGGTCTTCTTCAAAGCGAGCTAAAGAAATCAAGAGTCTGGACTCAGAATTCCTTTCCTAACTCTCCGTTGGAAGCTCTGAATCTCAGTGGAGAAACAATGTTTTCTGGCTCTGTTTCTCTTGTCCCTCACTGTGTTGCAACTGCTAGTTACAGAATTGCATTTAGAGGAGTACATTATAATTATCAATAGTTTACAGGAAACCAATTGTCCAGTGATATTTGGCTTCCAACTTGGGGGTGGGGGATACATGACAAGATTTTTAATGGCCAGAGACAACTGCACAAGAGGCTGTTGGTGGTGCGAGGTGCAAATCCTACTTAGTACTCAGTGCTAGGATCACCAAGCATGGTCCTGATCATGTCCCTGTGGGACTCAGGGCTTTTAAAGTGTTCTTAGAGGTAGTAGTCTTCCTATTTGCCTTGAATATAGTATGCTCCTCCTCAATTCTTAATTTAGAACAAGGTTTACAAGGGACTTTTGACATTTGACATTGATTGTTGACTATGATAGGGTAAATATTCCTGATCTAGGTTGCCACCTCCTTGTTTATTAACAAATTTAAATTTGCATTTGCTGTAGATTTATGTAAAACAAACATGCAAACAAGTGTGATGTTCTGAGGTTTTATTACAATTGTGTGGGACATGATGCTCTCAGGAGAGTGAAAGCTGAACACAGGGTTTGATTCTTGTTACCATAGTTTTACACAAATTATTGCTTTCCATGATGAAACTTCCATGAGGCCAAATTTTCTGATCTGATAAAAGCATCATAAATGTATGAATTGTCAAGATCATTGTAAAGTCATGTGTAGCTAATAAAAAAAAAGCATCAACACAAACAAATGAAGGTACAATTTTGTGACTTTCTTTGTAAAAATACATGTAGACATATTGATGTGCTTTGCCCTCCTACAAGGGGGTTTGCCAAATGTCTGATGTAAATACAATTCTTTTGTATTATGTAAGATTTTAAATTCATAGGAATTCACCATGTAAAGCACCAAGTGGATTTTTACAGTGAAAAGTGTAATGATTATTTTTAGTTGTTTTATTCTGTATATTAGTATTCCTGGAAGAGAGTGTTATGTTTCTAAGGAGAGTTTAAAATTCCTAAGGAACTTCCAGGTATCACTGACAATGAGACATTCCTGGTCAGTAAGTGCCAAAGCTGCCCACATCAAAGCTTTCCCACATTTCTTTTAACTTAGCATGTTGAAGAGGAACATTTCAAGTAAGTGCTGCCTGAATGTTGGCAGTGGTGGAGCCAGCAGTAAACGGGAGGTGTGATAAAGATGAGAAAGCAGAGGTTTCTTAAGGGGCAGAAGGACTCAGGGAAGGGGGACTATCGTGATCAGATTACATATGGAAAGAGTTATTATTTTTTTCTGAAATTGCTCAAATGTTGTAAATATTTACATATTCTGCATTAGAAATAACTGCATGAAATATAAATTTTAAATTATGACTTAGAGTAGTTTACAGTTTTAATGTGTTATTTATTTAAGGTTTTGCCAGGTTTATTATACTTGACATAGCAGTTAAAGTCTGACAATAAATATGTGCATATTTATCTCTGTATAGGCTCTTTCTTAAAACTTTAATTGCAGCTGGGTGCAGAGGTGCATACCTATAATCCTAGAGGCTCAAGAAGCCAAGGCAAGAGGAGGAGGAAGAGGATCACAAGTTCAAAGTCAGCCGCAGCCATGTAGCAATATCCTATCTCAAAATACAAATAAAGACATAAAAGGGATGGGTGTGTGGCTCAGTGGCTGAGTGCCCCCGGGGTCAATCCCTGGTATCAAAAAAGAAAAAAAATGCATCGAAATAAAATGTACAAATGAAATATGCCTCTTTAAATTTTGCAAGATCAAGCAACCAGCAGCACAATCTAACTCCAGAATATTCTATCACCCCCCAAAGAAACCTGTCCCCATTAGCAGTTTTTCCCCATTCTTCTCTTCCTCCTGTCCCTGACAACTACTAACCTGTTTTATGCACCCATGGATTTACCTATTCTGGGAACTGTGGGAAGCCATTCTAACACGTGATTGGGTGACTCCCGTTAAGGGCCTGAGGCGCTCTGGCTGTGTCGAAGTTTTCCGGCCCTTTCCTGATGAGAGAGCCCATCCGTGTGGGGGTGTGCCTGACCACTGACCCCGGGGACCCAATCACTGACCCTGACCTTGGAGTGCAGCCCCCCCCAACCTTCATTGGATGGAATTCTCCCCTGAATCTCTTGCTCCCCAATAAAAGGCTAGTCCCCGGCGTGTTCGCTCTCTCTCTCCTGCTAGCCCGGAGTAATCCCTGCTGCCCTGCTGGGCGGCTACAGGAGCGAACCAGAGAGGGGAGCCGTCTCGGACCTAGCAACAGATATAAGGTAACTGAGTCTTTGTGTTTTATTTCGATCTCTTCTAACTAACTTTATGCCTAGAACCTCATTAATGAAACCATTGCGCAGGCCGCGTGGTAGAGGGAACTTCACATTAGCAGACTCACAGGTGACCATCTGTCTGGCTTCTTCCACTTGGTGATGTCCCCAGGTCCCCCTGCTGCAGCACGCATCGGCACCTCCTCTGTGTCCTGGTGGAATCACGTTCCATTGCAACACACGGCACACTTTGCTTCTCCACTTGTCAACCCATGTGCCTTGGGTGATCTTCTCTTTCTGGCTCTGTGACTAATATAGTTGTGAATGTGCAGGAGCATGTGTTTAGGTAAGCTTCATATTATCCATTTTTTGGGCATATTCCTAGAAATGGAATTGGGTCATATGGTAACTGTTTCATTTTTGAGGAAACAGCAAACCCTTTCCCAAAGGGCCTGCATCATTTTACAGTCCCTCCAGTGATGTACAGGAGTTATAATTTCTCCACACTCTGAATAGCACTTGCTATTGTCTATCTCTTTGATTGTCACCATCCTAGTGTGTGAGGTGGTTTACACAGAGGCCCTTGCTTCAGAACTTTATGGTATATGAAAAAAAGAATCATATCCTAAAAAATTCATTATGGCCAGAGAAATAAAGCCCCTTTTCTGAAGTCTTTGCCTGCTGCCAGTCTCAATTCTACATTGCTTATGCTAATCAGTTCATGCTCATTTAGACTTCAGACTTCATTATCTTTTAAGATTAGACCAAGAGTATTTTCTTTATTCCACCCCAAGTATATATGTTCTCTCATCTGGAGCAGTGTTACTCCACAGGCCTGCTGTATACTGAGTTGAAAAACACCTGAAGGATCTCATTGTTATCAAAGAATCAGAATATCTGAAATCTCCAAGAATATAGGGTTTAATTCTTGACCTGGTTCCTCTGGCTAAAACACTTATGGCTGACTATAAGAGTATCATAGGAAAGAACTGTTTTCCCTTGAATTTTATATTTCATGTTAGCTTAGAAGTATTATTTAAGAGAAAAAGAAAAACAGAAATATGTTCTACTAATCAGGGTGCTGAGAAAACTGGAAATCCATATGCTGCGTAATGAAATTAAACCCCTGTCTCTCACCCTGCATGAAACTCAACTCAAAGTGGATCAAGGACTTAGGCACTAGAACAGAGACCCTGCACCTAATAGAAGAAAAAGTAGGCCCAAATCGCCACCATGTTGGCTTAGGAACTGACTTCCTTAACAAGACTCCTAAAGTGCAAGAAGTAAAATCAAGAAGCAATAAATGATATGGAATCAAACTAAAAAGCATCTTCACAATAAAGGAAACAATCATGAACATGAAGAGAGAGCCTATAGAGTGGGAGAAAATCTTTACCACCTACACCTCAGATAGGGCATTAATCGCCAGGATATCTAAAGAACTCAAAAAACTTAACACCCAAAACCCAAATAATCCAATCAATAAGTGAGCTAAGGAACTGAACAGATATTTTACAGAAAAAGAAATACAATTGGTCAACAAAATATAAACAAATGTTCAACATCTGTAACAATTAGAGAAATGCAAATTAAAACTACACTGAAATTTTTTCTCACTCTAGTCAGAATGGCAATTATCAAGAATACAAGTAAAAATAAATGTTGGTGAGGATGTGGGGGAAAAGGTACACTTATACATGGCTGGTGGAACTGCAAATGGGTGCAACCAATTTGGAAAGCAGTATGGAGATTCCTTAGAAACTTGGAATGAAATCACCATTTGACCCAGTTCTCCCACTCCTCAGTTTCTACCTAAATGTGACACAGTCACATCAATGTTTATAGCAGCTTAATTCACAATAGCTAAACTATGGAACCAACCTAGGTGCCTTTCAACAGATGAATGGATAAAGAAAATGTGTTTTATATATATATATAATGGAATATTACTCAGACTTAAAGAAGAATGAAATTATGGTATTTGCCAGTAAATGGATGGAGCTGGAGAATATTATGCTGCGCAAAATAAACCAACCCCAAACAATCAAAGGCAGAATGTTTTCTCCCCTATGTGGATGCTAATTCACAATAAAGGGAGGGGGGGGCTAGTGAAGAATAGAGGTACTTTGAATTAGACAGAGGGGAGTGAAGGGAGAAAAGGGGGCATGAGGATAGGAAGGATGGTAGAATGAATTGGACATCATTACCCTAGGTGCATATATATCTACACAAGTGGTGTAATTCTACATCATGTACAACCAGGAGAATGAGAAGTTATACTCCACTTATGATGCATCAAAATGCATTCTACTGTCATGTATAACTAGTTAAAACAACAACAACAAAAAGAATGTAAAAGAACGAGTGTAAAAAAGTTCATTGAGAGCCAAGAGAATACAGATACACAGTTTAAATGAAATTAGGAAGACAATGCAGGACACAGATAAGAAATTCAGCAGAGATTTTGAAAAGAACTAAGCAGAAATCCTAGAAATGAAGAGCTTAATAAATCAAATATAAAATACAGTTAAAAGCCTGAAAACAGACTAGTTTTAGCAGAAACTAAACTGCTAAACTGAACTTGAAGAACAATTTGTCCTAATATCCCAGATTTAAAAAAATAATGGTGAGATCATTCAAACTCTTTGGGACACCATTCAATGAACAGGCATCTGCATTTCTGGAATACCCAAAGCAAGGAGAAAAAAGTGAGGCTTGTGTAAAACCTGTTCAATGAAATACTAGCAGAAAATCCTTTGATCTTGGTGAAGACATGGATGTCCAAGTACTGGAGGCTTACAGGACCCCAAACAGACGTGGCCAGAATACATCTTGACCACAGCATCCCAAAGCTCTTAAAAATAGAAGACAACAAAAGTTTTATGAAATCAGCAAGAGAAAAGTGCCAAAAAGAGTATCACCAATGAGATTAAAGCAGATTTCTCAGTATAAACCCTACACGTGAGTGGGAAATGGAATGGCATGTGTGAAATCCTGAAAGAAAATAACCGCCAGTCAAGATTAGAATGTCCAGAAGGCTATGCTTCAGAAAGTGAGGGAAATAAGTCTTGCGACAAGAAAAAAGGGAGGGAATACAGGAACCCAGACCAGCTGTACGGAAGAAGTGAAAGAAAGATAGCTACCATTGTGAAAGCATGTGACAGTGTAAGTCCCACGAGAAGAGGGGACAAAAAGGAGAAATAGAAAATAGCATTATTAATAGAGTGTACCATCAAACCACAAGATGGAAGAGGAAAAAAAGATGTTTAAAGGACACAAATCCTTACGCATCAGTGACAGCCTTGAATGTAAGCGGACCAAGTTCTCCAGTTAGAAGATAGGGACTGGCTGAATTGATTGAAAATTAAAACCAAACAACACGTGGCCTACAAGAACCCACTTTACCCATAAAGACACACAGACTATAAGTGAAATGAAGGAAGTGATATTCCAAGCACATAGAAAACTAGTTACCTGAAGGCAAAAACTGTAAGAGGTAAGTAAGTCACCGTGCAATGACCATGGGATCAGTTCAACAAGATGTCATGGTTGTCCATCTACATGCACCTCATATCAGAACTCCTAGTTTTATAACAACAGTAACAGATGTGGGGAGAGATGTCCTCCAATAGAGCAATGCTGAGGTTCTTCATTGCACCAGTGGACAGATCATCCAGACAAAGAATCAGAAAGAAACTCAGAGTTAAGATGCACTCTAGACCAAATGGACCTAATGAACATCATCTCCAGAAAATGCTTAATCCTGTTGGATCTCACTGAGCTTTTAAAACAAACATTCTTTATCATTTTTTTCATAAGTACATTCAACTTTCTCTAGCAAAGGCCATGTACCGGGACACATAAGTCTTGAACCCCCCCCAAATTGACATCACATCCTATATTTTTTTCTGATCACAATGGAACAAATCTACAAGTCAATAAGAAACTAAATTTTAGAAATTATACAAATGCATAGAGACTGGACAGTACTTTTGAACAGTGAGTTTTCAAGGAAGTTGGAAGGAAGTTAAAACATTTATCAAAATAAATGATATGGAAACACAAAACACCAAAACGTGTTCAATGCAGCAAAAATGGGAGCGGCTTTCACAAGCAAGGAGTGCAGGGCATGCAGAGCTAAAGAAAGGAGCGTGCACAAAAGAGTGCATGTGCAAGGCAGAAAGGAGGCCATGTACCCCAGGAAGCATCTCACAGGCTTAGAAAAGCAAGGACAGACCAAACTCGAAATTCACATATCAGCACAGAAATAAACAAAATAGAGACTAAAAAGAATACAAAA